TTTTTTTTTTTCATTTAGGTAGATTATTCACCTTTAGCATCTGTGAAATTGGCATGCGAGCTGGAGAAAATTGGGTCCTTGAAGGTAAGTAAAATTATCATGAGGCCATTTTTTTTCATTTTAGATTGTGTCCACAATTTGCCTTTATTTTTTGGTGTTATTGTCTACGAACAGAACACTTTCTTCTCCCCTTCTCCAGTGTTTTTGTATAAACACACTGGCATCTCAATGGCACCCATTGAACAAGTCAGATGTGTCCCCACAACACCTAAAAGATGGAGTCAGTAAAATGGATTGAATCTTGAGAACTACTCACGTCATTTATTCTTATGGAACTTCTTTGTCATTTATTCTTATGAAACTTCTCTGAGGAACCTTTTCCATCATGAATGCTTATAGTGGTATAGGGATATGTACTTTTATGCAGCCCAAGAGATGTTCATAGTGCATGGAATTTTGTGGTTGTTGGATAAAGTAGCTGTTCTGATTCATGCTTTAAGATGGGCTAGTTCTAGAGTCAATCTAAATAATGATAAACAATTGTCCTTCTTAGGATGTCTGTTAGATCATAATTGAGACATTATTTATGACTTATCATTTTTTGCAATTTGAGTTCGTTTGAAATTCTAAATAGCCTTGTAAATGGTTCAGTTTTATGATTGAGCTATTTTGTTCTATTATCATACACCAAAAGATCTTTATGCCTCAAAGATGTGACTACTTAAAAATGCTGAATTACCAATGTGTCTATTGTAGTAAGTTATCAAGTTTAGATTTTTACATACTTTGATACATAACATTGTGATTGTAATGTCTAAACAATTTATGGATGTTGTGGTTTGTATTATTCGGTATTTGATTTTTGGCATTCAGAATAAGACTTTAGGGTCTTAATATTAAGGATTGATGTTTAGTTAGAACTTATTTTCCGGGTAAGCACGAATTTTATTTTTATGCCACGCTTTAGATTTTCTAATTCTCAAAGTCAAAAGGTTTCTAACTTTCTGTTTTCTATTGTGCATTGAAGGCATACCTGGGAGGCAAATGCTAAGATTGTCCAGCATTTGCCCTAAGGACACTTGTTAAGATGTGATTATTGACCTAGTTCTTACCAAAACGATAGGGCACTAATTCCTGAAGGTTTAGGAATTAGGATCATTACACATGTTATTGAGTTAATGGTACCCAAACTGCCCTTGTTTAAATTCTTTTTTTTTTTTTTTAATGTTCAAATTGGCTTAAAAATTGAAGTTTGAATTGAGGGGACAAAAACAAATGAAAGATGAAGAATAGTGTTGATTGGAAGATGGAGGATAGATGAAAGCAACGATGAAGTTTCCACGACGATGATTCCTTGGGAAGTTAAAGATGATATTCAAGATTTTCAAATGAAATTGGAGGAGACATTCTGTACAGAGATCCTTATTGTCGGAGCCACAAATGGACTGGAATTTGCCTCTAATATAGGATGTGTATTCAAAGGATGGCTATCTAGTGATTGCCATGAAAATTTATTTTTTTGTGACCAAAAATTGAGAAGTGGGAAAGGATTAGAATATAGAATATATGGGTCAAACATGGTTAAAAAATAAGTTATAGGTGGTTAAAGGAAAAAAAAATATGGGATATTAATTGTAGAGTTATAATAAACTACTAATAACTACCAATAAAGGGAATGGACACTAAACCCACCCTCTCCCTTTATTAATAGTATAGATACTCAAGGGTATTTTTGTTCTTTGGTTTATTAGGTCACAATTAATTTCGGTTGACATCTTCTTTATTACACTTTTACTTAATTTCACTCGATGGTAGATCACCTATCGTGTATGGATGGTGGACCCACTTTATAAATAGTGAGTCCTACTTGAATCTATGGGAGGTGATCTATATTGAATGAAATTGAGTAACAGTGTAATGTAGAGGATTTAGATCCTATTAATGTAAGCTCATGAGGTAGAGAACCCTAATTTACTCTCCTTTCACTGCTCCAATTTAATGTTCTCTCTATTCTTTTTGTTATTGTTTGCTTTTGATTTAAATTGCTGTCATTATCTATTCCTGTACTCGCATGAAGAACTCTTGGGATTAAAGGATATCTTTCCTAATCAGCCCAGACCTTTTTTTATTCTAGTTTTGCTTGGAATTGAGGCCTTAGGTGCCAATGTAACCTTCTCAAAGATTACCCAATGGTTTAGAATCATATTTAAGGATTGTTAGAGCATTGCAGTTGGCTGTAGTTTTTTTCTCCTTATTATCTCTTCTTTCTTTGCTTTTTTTTTTTTGCTACCAGCATATTCAGCGTGACTGATGCAGGGCAAGGGGTGAAGTTAGCAATGTATTGAGTTTAGGTACTTGCTGGGGAAATAGATATTTTGATTCACGCATTGATATAGGTCTAGTTTAAGAGTCATTGTATATAACAACCTTTTGGAAGCCTAAGGTCAGTCTTTTTAAGCCGAAGCTTAGTGAGTCACATAAGATATCATTAATCAAAATAGGCCTATTCTACACAGTGAGGTATTGAACACCATCTCATCTAAAAGTTTAAGTTATTAGAGTGTAACTGAAGTATTGATACTTCAGCATGTCTTTCATCTTATGATTCAAGGTCGCGGTGTCGGCCGTCGACTCGGAGTGTTCTGAAACACAACGGTCGTGGCGCGATATCGGATGATACGACCTAAAAGAAAATGTTGTACATGACGAGAGGTTCATGTCATACCGTGGTGTCACTGAACCGTATTAGGCGATTCATTGATGATAATTCTACAACTCGGGATTGATTCGGACAAATCGGCCGAGTCGTGTGAGACTTGGGATTTATATGTATTGTGTAACAATATAGTCTTGGCAAGTATTGAGTCATATTGGACTCGGCCAACTCGTATCGGTATCGGCCGATATTTTGAATCATGTCTCATCTGTAGATCATATTTTGGGCCTAGTATGTGAAAATCTTTTACTAATCAAGGTGACGGTAGAGGACCTTCTGCTCTAATACCATGTTAGATCATCCAACTCAAAATCAATTGGCTACGAGTGGAGTAGCCCCTCAAGTATATAAACTAACATTAGGTGTCCTAATCATTGGATGTGGAATACAAGATCTCTTTACACCCTCCATCGCGTGGAAGCCAAGCTCAAACTTGAGGTTAATAAATGAACAAACAACCATGCAAAATGGAAAATTCAATGGAGAAAGAGACTTGATCCATTGACCAGTCAAAGCCTAACTCTGATACCATGTTGAACACTATCTCATCTTAAAGTTTAAGTGTTAAATGGTGTATCATAAGTTATTTATACTTCAACATGAGAAAAAATAATGTGATGTTTGTTGATGGTGTATCTTAAGTATTTATACTCAAAAATACTTACTCTGTTGCTCGGAATTCGTCCCCTTTTCAGCAGCCTATGGATTTTTCTTTTTTATTTTTGCAGCAAAATGTATTTGTTTGGTACTGGCTTGATCATTTATATTGGCTGTCTAACAATGTAACAAACAGACAAACCTGGGTTTGCCACCTATGAAGTATTATAAATTGCAGAATAAATATTTAGCAGGATGTGGCATCAATGTCAATCTTCAATAGAAAGTGCTTGAATTACAGATACTTTTACAGCTGGTCTCTAATTAAGTCATGATAACCAATATTATGCAGGCCCAATCAAATATTGTTTCAAAGGAGATACACTCAATTGATATCGATCCATCTTGCCCGTATCAATTGGCATTCCATCTTGATGATGGTTGGTAGGTTTGGAGATAAATTCAAGTGTTCTGTTTATAGTAGCTTGGCATTATGTTCTAGCATGTTGAAAAATCACCAAGATTCTTGTATTGATTTCTTTAACAGTTTCTTGTAGTATCCACAGTTTTTTGGCAAAGAAAGAGGTTTTAGTTCTATGATGTGTATAGTTCTAAGATTAACTGCAGCAACTGCAAAGTCAGCAGGACGAAAGGCTTGACAGGTGCAGTTCATGATTCAAAGGTTTTTGCCAATATGTGGCTCCTTGGGAATGACTTAGCAATACATACCAGTCCCATGACGTTGCTAAGGCCCTTTCTTTTCATGACCTTAACCCAGAAGCCAGAATAGAATTAATCATTGGCTGCAAATCAAGCTCTGAAAGGGTTGTGCATCAGCTGTCCTCTTTGCCGTAGTTACGTAGTAGGCTATAGACTGCAGGTAGATGAATGACATGGAGAAATGTTTCTGTATTGGTTGAGAACACTTCATGCCAATCAGAATGAGCAGAGTTTGTTAGATGGCTGTATGACTTCCTATGATCTATTATGCAGTGAGTTGAACTGTCACAATACAAGCTGTCAATAGTAAGAGCATAATCAAACCAGGAAGGTTGATATGGATTAGCATTAAGTTGAAAGGTATAACAAGAACTGATGAAGATGTTCCAAAAATTTTTGAGGTTAAACAGATCTGTAATCAGATAATTTAACAAAGTTTCACTGTTGGCGCTGCCTTTTTTTTTTTGGGCTTCCTTTATAGTGGTAGGAAGGGGGGATTTTCAATGCACTGACGGTAGTACTAGTGATTTTTCTGGGGACTTATTCCCATTTAACAATTTCATTCTGCTTCTTGTAAAGGAGCTATTCTATAACAGTGAGGGGAATCTTGGCAATTTGTAACGCAGACCAGCTACCGCAACTAACTAGCTGCAGTACGGAACAAGTTGCTGTAGATGACAATATTGTTGTCTTCTGAGAATGATTAGTTTTATTAAACTGACTTTTAAGTGACCCAATTTTGAGATGATTGATTCTTCCTAGTATGTTTTTCCGAATTAACGTGCTTATTTTGTGGTTTTCTCCTTTTCAGGTCAGGTGTTTTGGACATCAATAATATGCAAGTGACACATATTCATTGTCCTCCTCCTCCTTGGTTGAGTATAATGAAATTCTATGGAATTGAGATTGCTTATTTAATGGAAAATTTCAAGTATGTTCATTCAACTAATGATTTATTTTGTTTTCTTTTTGATTTGAGGGTCTAGGGATGACTCAAATGATCTGACAAATGTGACATACTTGAGGAAACCATCTTGGCTCCCGACACACTCGGTTAGATGATTTCTTGATTGGTTTTACCTTGTTTTATTTTGTTACAACCAGATTTTTCTTTTATGGTGTTACTAGAAGGAGCATATTCATAAGAGTTAACACACAATTCCAGTTTTTTTACTTTGGTAGCCTCGTGCACTGGGCCGCAGACAATGTTAGGCAAACATATAGATTATATTTCCACTTCTTTTTTTCATTGTCTACCTTTTTCATGGAAAGAAAGGCTTGTCTATTCTCTTTGTGGCCTCCATTCCAGCCTAGCAAAAGTCATGTCAATCCGAGGATGTTTATGCACAGCATAACCATTAAATTATCCCATCATAGTTTGCATAGCGTCTGCCACAATTCCATTCTGTTTGTAGCAGATGACTAAGTTTTTGTTTTGATTTTTTATGATTTTATCTGGAAAAGGTCCCTTCGCTAGCCCTGCAGAAATTCATTATGTTGTCTACCCCTATAGACTTCATAATAATGATGGCCTTTCATTTCATGTGGTAATTTGTATGTTCGAATAATATGTAAACCACAATACGCTCGTACTCTGGCGATGTCTGAACAACTGCTTTATTTCTGCTTTTCTACTTTTATTGGAACTTCAATCTTGTGATTGTTGCACGACTCTGAAGAGAACTAATGTACAGTTTCTGAGCCACTATGGGCAAGAATCAGCGTATTATCACTTAGTATTGCAAGTTCACATGGATAGATTAACTTCTGAAGGTGGAAAAATGTAAAGTACAGTAGGAAGAATCACACAATTCGACTGAAACTTTTCTCTGGCTATCATGCAATTATTTGTTGATGGCATGTGATTTATTGATTGGATACTTTTTCATGTTGTTCCATTTTTGTTTGCTGTTTTTTTATCTGCTAAAATTTTTTTATGCATTTGATTGCAGATTTATGTAGTTGGATCATCATGCAGTAGAGGAATTCATCTTTTAGATTTCTATCCAGACCCCAGCTCCCCCTGCCACTTGGATTGCAAGTAAGAATCTCCAACAAACTTATAAATGCGACCATCTTTTTTCAAGGGACATCTTTGTCATGAACTCAGCAGAACTGTCATGTTATCAATGTACTCAACACAAATTGACAGATATAGGCCTCCTATTAGCTCTGATGTTACATTCTTGTGAATGTTTATGCTTTCCTGGTTTTGTTTCACTTGAAATATTTGTGAGTGAAAAGGGATACTCAAATTAAGAGTAGAGCCCGTATATATATCCAAAAATAATACAGAGTGACTTAAACATCCTTGTAGTTTAGGCAAAAAATAAAAATCATAGTAAGGGTAAAAAAGGGAAAGAAATCCTAATAAACTAGACTATCTATACTCCAACACTCCCCCTCAAGCTAGGCGCAAAAATGTCAACTAAGACAAGCTTGACAACGGAGTCCCGAAGAATAGACAGAGTGACAGGTTTGGTAAAAACATCCGCAACTTGATCACTGGTCCCCACAAACGATGGAGTAACAAGACCACTGCTGACCTTCTCCCGAAGAAAGTGAACATCGATCTCTATATGTTTCGTTCTCTCATGTAGTACAGAGTCAGAAGCGAGCTGAATAGCAGATTGATTATCACAATATAATGTGGATGGAGAGGTCACTGAAAAACCTAACTCGTCAAGAATCGATCGTAGCCAGATAATCTCACACGTGCCAAGTGCCAATGCCCGATACTCTGCCTCTGCAGACGAGCGAGAGACAACTGCCCGCTTCTTGCTCTTCCAAGAGATAAGATGAGTCCCTCGAAAAGCACAGAAACCCGTAGTAGATCGACCATCACATGCTCCCCCATAATCTGAATCTGAATAACAGGCTAGAGAACCGGTCTGAGATCCTGATGCATAAAACAACCCAAGTCCAAGACAAGACTTGAGGTACCGAAGAATATGATAAACTGCATCAAGATGAGGCTGACATGGCCTATGCATGAACTGACTAACTCGGCTGACTGCGAATGAAATGTCCGGCCTAGTATTGGCTAAGTAGATAAGTCTACCTACCAATCTTTGATAAACTGTCGGATCTTTCAACTCCTCACCTTCAGCAGTAAGCTTCAGGTTTGGAATCATGGGTGATGATGCCGGTTTGCACCCCAACATCCCAGTGTCTGAAAGAAGATCCAAAACATACTTTCTCTGAGAAAGAACAATACCTCTGCTTCTACGGGCAACCTCAATCCCAAGAAAGTATCGCAGAAATCCAAGGTCCTTCACATCAAAGGCCTTCCCAAGGTCTATCTTGACCTGCGCAGTCCCAGAAACATCATCACCAGTAATAATAATATCATCAACATATACCAGAAGGATGACACACTGTCCAGAAGTATTCCGTCGAATAAAGCAGGTATGATCAGAATGACACCTGGTGAACCCCAATCGTACGACTACATCACTGAAGCGAGAGAACCAGGCTCGTGGCGACTGTTTCAGTCCATAAAGAGACTTACGCAGTCGACATACCTTTCCAGCATACTCCCCCTCACCACGAAAGCCCGGTGGTGCATCCATATAAATAATCTCGTCCAGATCACCGTGAAGAAACGCATTCTTCACATCTAATTGATGAAGAGGCCAAGAGTACTCCGCAGCCAGAGAAATAATCAACCGAACAGTAGTCAATTTTGCCACGGGGGCAAATGTAGCACCAAAATCACGACCTGGTACCTGAGTAAAGCCCTTCGCCACAAGTCTAGCCTTGTAACGATCAATAGTACCATCCGCAAGAAACTTCAGGGTGTAAACCCAGCGACAGCCAACAGGCTTCACCCCTGAAGGTAAGGAGACAAGATCCCATGTATGATTACGCTGAAGAGCGTCCATCTCTGTCTGCATGGCAAGAACCCACTGGGGCTCCCGCATAGCTTCCGAAATAGAGCGAGGAACCGGCGTATCTGATAAGGCCATAGTATAAGCTCGAAATGTGGGAGACAGATCACCATAAGAAACATAAGCAGAGATCGGATATAAAATCTTGGCGGTCCAACCATATCGATCAACTGGACGACGATCACGCCTTGGATAACGACGCCCTAAATCACCATCCTCTACTGATAATGTCTTATCAGGTAAAGTAACTGGCTCAGCACCTGCAATCTCATCAGTACTAACAACAGGTGCATCAATATGCTCAACAAACTGAGAAGTATTACCTGCATCGCCTGAGGTAGAGGGGATATCAGCAGGGTGATGAGAGCGAGGACGACGAACATACACCTGCAAAGGAAGAGAGACTGGTAACTCTGTACTGACAGGGATGAGTGACTCCTTTGGAGGAAAAACGGATGACCCTGTAGGGATAGTGATCAATGACTCTGACTCTTGTGGTAATGGAAAATCAAAGGGAGTATCATCAACTGGAGGGGCAGACAAAGGACTGAAAGAAAAATAAGGAATATGCTCAAGAAAGGTAACATCTAGACTGTGATACATACGACGCCTAATAGGATCATAACATCGATACCCCTTAGATTGATGACAATAGCCCACAAAGATACAACGAATCGCTTTATCATCAAGTTTATGACGAGTAGGAGACCGATCCTGAACAAAACATGTGCATCCAAAAACACGAGGGGGGACCGGAAAAAGTGTCCGCTCAGAAATAAGACCTGTAAGGGAGCCTTATGCTGAAGAACACGACTCGGCGTACGATTGCACAGAAAGGTAGAAGTCAAAACAGCAAAATGCCAATAAGATTTTGGTACCCTCATGCCTCTAAGCAGACAACGTACCATCCCTATCAAACTCCTATTTTTCCTTTCAGCAACACCATTTTGCTCAGGAGTATATGGACAAGTGAGTTGCTGAAGAATACCCTGAGAAGAAAGGTGAGACACTAAAGCATCAGACACATATTCTTTGGCATTATCCGAACGAAGAGCACGAACAATGACATCGAATTGTGTCTTAATCATCTGTAAAAACTGAGTGATTATAGGGAGTACATCAGACTTCCTATGCAAAAGGTAGACCCAAGTACAACGGGTATGATCATCTATAAATGTCACATAATATCTGGCACCTGACAGAGCAGTAACGGGAGAGGGTCCCCAAATATCAGAGTGTATTAGGTCAAATGGCTTGGGTGACTGGTGCATGCGAGGAATATAATTGGCCCTAACATGTTTCGATAGGGAACAGATAACGCAATCAAGTTTACCACCAACACAAGCATTACTCAAAGCAGGAAACAACATACATAAATATTTAAAATTTGTATGTCCAAAACGGTCATGCCACAATTGAACAGTTTGTGACGAAAAATCATAACGACAACTACTAGGTAAAATACTAGCATGCAAGCTAGGAACAGAAAAAGACAAAGCAGGTGCAGGTGAAGGAATTGGTGAAACTGGAGATGGATTGCCAAGATAATACAGTCCATCTTTCTCATGTCCCTTGATAATAATCCTCCTGGTACTCAGGTCCTGCAAATAACACGAATCAGATAAGAATACAACCGCACAGTAAAAATCTCTGGCTAACTGATGTACAGATAATAGATTCATGGCCAACTTTGGCGCATGAAAAACCGAATGTAATGTAAGGCCATCTGGGAGACGGACTGTACCCCTACTAACAATAGGGGCATGTGTTCCATCTGCTAACTGAACCTGTGTATGTAACGGCTCGTCAAAAGTGGTGAAGTGATGGGCCTCACCTGTCATGTGACCATTCACACCCGAGTCCAACATCCAAAGGGGAGATGAACTGGCACAAGCGTGAAAGGCACGAGATATACCTGTAGTGGTGACAGCAGCAGTAGTCAGACTCTGAGAAGTCAGAGCAGACATAAGTATATCTAATCGGGAAGTGATAGCATCCATATCACTTTGCCAAGGAGGAGCAGCAGCAGGAGTGGCGGTAGTGGGCGGTGGTACCTCAGCAATAGCAACAGTACGGCTGCGAGAAGGTGGCTTAAGCTCTGGATGGAGCTTCCAGCAAGTAGCCCTGAGATGTCCTGGTCGGCCACAATAATCACATTGACGGGAATTCCCCCGTCTGCGCTGATCTGGGGCGCCCTGACGGCGCTGGTCTGAGCGTTGCCCATCCCTGACTGAGGATCCTGAACGGGACCCTACAGCAGCTGCAAGGGCCATCTGGTCAATCGAAGGAGTCAAAGTTGCAACTGGAAGTGATGCAATACGGACTCGACGCTCATGCTGCTCAATCATCCCATACACCTCATAAAGAGAAGAAAGTGTCAACATCGACAAGATCTGAGAACGAGGTCCCTCAAACTCATCACGAAGCCCCATAAGGAACTTGTGAATCCTATCCTCCTGCTCTCGAGTATGCAAGAATGCTGCTCCCTCGGGCTCTATCTTCGGAATAGCAACAAGAGGACGTAGAGTCTCATACTCAAGCCAGCGCTGGGTCAAATAGCCATAATAATCCTGAACGGTCATATCTCCCTGCCGAGCATATGAGAGCTCCTGAGAAAGCTCATAAACACGAACTCCCCGTCCTGACTGAGAATACATCTCTGATAATGCGCTCCATAGCTTCGGAACAGAGCTATGAAACTGGTGGATCCTGCAAACAGAGGGCTCCATTGAGCCAAATAACCATCCAAGAATGACACAGTTTTCAGAGAACCACGCAGAATATCCAGGGTCGGCATCAGCTGGCTTTGGGTGAGATCCCGTTAGCCAGCCAAGCTTCCCTACACGGCCTAAGAAAAGTTGGAATGACCGTGACCACTCAGCGAAGTTACGACCATTCAACAATTGTGCCATAACTTTTTGAGAGATCATGCCCGGTAGTGCTGGTAATACAACTGTGCTAGTAGGCACTGTATACTGGTCAAACATAAAAGTGGAAGTACCCATAGATGTCTCAACGGTAGAGGTGTCAACAGTAGGGTTCTCAAGTCCCTCAGTAGTAGCCATATCAATAACAATATTAGGGCACCCGTGACAGAAAAATAACTCTAAGATAAATAGAGGAATAAAATAAGGGAGAACAATATACCTTTAGTCGAACAGTAGCGACAAATAAAGAAGGTAAAAAAAAAAAAAGGCTCCCAAATAATCAGGTCACGGTGCCCAGAAATCCAAAATATATAAATAAGTGATCTACTGCATCAAGGGTAGATCATCGGATAAGAGGATTCATCCCCTCTTTAAAAAATCCTAGATACACTGTGATGTTGGTGGACTTGGGTATGGATTTAATATGTCGGTGGGGTATATGTTGTTTCGGCTGGGTAGTGTGATGGAGGCAGTCGGCTGATATATGTTGTTTCGGCAGGCAGTGTGTGGTATATGTTGGGTATTGTGTGGGGTTTGATGAGAAAAGGTGAGGAGTTGAGGCTGTATATGTATGGCTGTTCGGTGAGAAAGGTGCAATCGGCTTTGGGTACCTTACTTCGGTTTTGTCAGCTGGGTTTGATGGGAGTTATGGCAGGGCAGCTGGCTGTCGGTGGAGCTGCTGGTTTAATGAATTGGAGGCAGTCGGTGGATAATGGGTATGTTTTGGGTATACGTTCGGTGGAGCTGCTGGTTTAATCTGGCAGTTATGTTGCAGTCGGTGTAGGTGTGGTGGCTGGTGGCTGCAACGTGGAGAAGAGGTTAGGGTTAGTGTTAGGGTTGTGGCTCTGATACCAACTTGAAATATTTGTGAGTGAAAAGGGATACTCAAATTAAGAGTAGAGCGCCGTATATATATCCAAAAATAATACAGAGTGACTTAAACATCCTTGTAGTTTAGGCAAAATATAAAAATCATAGTAAGGGTAAAAAAGGGAAAAGAAATCCTAATAAACTAGACTATCTATACTCCAACAGTTTCCACCTAATAATCATGTTTCATAGTCCATTGAGCAAGGCTCTTGTCATCATAATGGCTCCCATTCCTCCAATCCCCTTCTCCTGTGAATGGGTTTTTGTTTTGGGAAGGGGGGGCCCGGGGGGTGGAGGTGTAATTCTTCTTCGGCTTAAGGTTAGTGCTTACACAACTGTTGCTGCAGGGAGAATATTCCCAGCATTCCAGGAGTCAACAACCAGCATAAACAAAATAAATTTGTTCCCTTGTCTGAAGGTGTAACTGCGTGTACTGTTCATCCCCTCAATGGCACCATTGTTGCTGGAACCAAGGTTTGTTTATTTTTGAGGACTGATTGAGAAGTTGCCAATTTTGTGTAATTTGCTGTTTTGACTGATAATTTGCCAACCATGCTGCATCAACTTGAATTTCGTGCACCATTTCATCCAAGAAGCAAATATTTAACAGAAGTAGTTCTCTTCAATTTATTTTATTTATTTTGCTATTTCCTGCCCTCATAACCTATAGACTTCAGGGATTTGATTCTTCACCAGTAGGTGTAGCACATTCTTCGTGTACCCATGTCCACATGAACACATGTATGCTTGCGCACCACCTGCGCACATTTTTTGGTTACCCATGCCCAGATTTGGAAATTGCTTATTTGAGGTTGCTGCGTCCCTTAACTAATCGAAGACAAAAAAGTCGGACCAAAATCACAGTTAAAGAAGTCCACTGGGAGTGAAAGCGTACCCCAGTTCAAAGATGGTTCAGTCAATTCAAATAAAGCCAGGGCAAACTTAAAAGATTGTGGGCATGTCTAAAGTTAATATTTGGTTCAATAGGTCTATATCTGATACAGTAAGTCAAAACCTGATAAAATTTTTGAATATTTACATTAAAATTGTCTGAATGATGGTGAAATTGACAAGAAACACATAGGTATTTGTGATTTAATAAAACATATGTTTTGCTTGTGATATGAACCCATTGTTTCGGAATTCAGGTTTTTTCACCTCTTTTGGTCCTGCAGAATCATATAAGTGACCATGAGATGATTAGCATAACTGTCATGATAATTAGTTTCTAATATAAAATGCACTGTCCATCCAACGCTGCAACACATAGATATTTGTGATTTAATAAACCATAAGTTTTGCTTGTGATATGAACTCATCGTTTCAGAATTCAGGGTTTTTCACCTATTTTGGTCGTGCAGAATCAGTGTTTATCCTACAAGTGACCATGAGATGACTAGAATAACTCTCATGATAGTTAGTTTCTACTAAAAAACCGATGTCCATCCAACGCCATTTATGTATCACCTCTTCAATGTATTTATCTTCTTTTTTGAAAGAAAGGGAGGCTAAGTTGTAAAATTGTTGATTGGTTTTAGCAAGCATCACTGCTATTGATCTCCCAGAAGCACATGTCATTCCAAGGCAGAGGCAGTTCTCTGGGTTCTGACGAAGATTGTAAGAAGCCAGAGCCCAGTTTCAAAAACTTATTTAGTGACGGCATGCCCAGATTGGCTTGAATTGGAGAAGAATTGCATAGGTTGAGTTAAAGTAGGTTGTTGCAAAAGAGATTGTGATCGGGGCTTTGCATAGACAGATGCAATCAGTTGAGCACATCAACTTTGGAACAAAGGTTTACATTCTAAGACTGGGGGCATTGAAAGTAGGGGAAGAGATGTGCCAGTATGTCGGGGATACAAGGGGATACAAGGGTATGCAAGAAGGCAAGTTAATGTGCTATTCTGTGCATTAAGTTCAACCGAGAGATGTGAAGTTCAATTTTGTACTTGACTGAATAGACAGGTATTACTATTGGAAATTGCTTCAGTCGAACGATCAATAATCAATCTTGTTCTGAGAAATTGCTTCATACAATCTTGTGTCTTTTAATAGATCAAACACCTATTAATAATCAATCTTGTGTCTTTGCCTGCTTGCACATGTGTCCATTTCGTTTATGGTTCAATATGGCTTATCAACGATTACATGTGTAATTTCTTATTATCTATTAGCGTATGGAAATCTAGATATGCACGCTTCATAATTATTTTTGTTATTGTTACTTTTTGCTTTTTTAAGACCATAAAAATAGAAGTAAGAAGTGTTTTAAATATGTTTACAAAACTTTTTATTTCTTCTTTGTTCTTTTTTTGTTTGTTCCTTTTCTTAAGCTTATTATTACGTATGGTAGTATGAATAGGTACAAATATACGTATGTTCTTTATACATCAAGATACATGTATCTATTAGGTTTGATAAATACCTACCATTATTTTTTAACTTGTGCTCTTAAGCATAAAGCAGAAATATGAAAAATACTATTTTTAATGTAAGAAATACTTGAGAAATCCACAAGGTCACCCACCACACATTGACCTCATCTACCTATGTTACCTATCTAAAGCACTTAAAAGCCACTGGAGAAGTATACGAATGTGGCTTCCTTTTCCAGTAAGTCTGTACAAACAATTGCAGGTTGTTACTCGGCATAACTAGCAAATAGGATGTTAAACAGGAGCAACTTGGAGCAAGAACCAACTTGATTCAAAGAATTCAACATTGTTCACTTTAAAATCAATGTGGACGACATTGGATGTGATTAACTTGATATAGATTTACTTGGAAGATCGTATGGTTATTAATCTTTTCCTCACCATGGGTGCGAGAGAGGGAGAGAGATTGTCACGCTTTGGGTAACGAATGATCTGGTTAATGACTATCCCTAAATGAAAAATAATCAAATTTTTAATCACTTTAACTCTTGGGAGGAATGAAACTATTTCATTTCACCAATAATTAGTAAATAAACAGGGCAATTGAGGTTTGAAGCCAACATCACCCACTACAAAACCAAAATAATGCAATAGGAAGAACAAGGCCAAGATCAAACAAGAAATATATAGACAAGAAAACTCAAACAGAAAAAAGACTTCAAATACCACCATGTCAACAAATAAAAAAAATAAAATAGAACAATGCTATTAGGACATAATTTGGTATCATAGGTTCTTAGGCAGTTTGATTTTCCATTGGATTTGTGAGGGACATTGGTATTTATTCGAGCAGAATGTCTTTATTGGGAAAAGTACACTTTGTCCCCCTCAATTATGGGCTCAATTTTTATTGTCTCTTGAACTATTAATTTTTCCCATTGCCTCATCAACTATTTGAATTATTTCATATTTCTCCAAACACAAATGTCCGTTATTATTTTGGTCAAAAATTATCAACATGTTGGGACAAAGTGAAAAAAATTAAATTTTAGAGAGAAAAATAAAATAAACTTTTATTGAATTTTTAATTAATATGAATAATTGGGGCTATATAAAACTAAGTACAAAGTTGAAAATACAATATGAAAAACATAATTGTTGAGGGACAATGTGAAAAAAATATTATAGTTGAGGGGTTAAAATATATTTTGCCCTTAGTCATATTTCTTACAAAGACTCACATAGTGTTCATGAGCTTTCATCGTGGTAAAATGAGCACTAAGATAATTCCATATCCCAATTTTTTTTTTTAACTGAATCCATCACTGTTAAAACAATTAATATTTGAATTATATGCCCTAATACTAGCCATGTATTCATCTTTGATAACACTCCCATTGTTTTCCAGATAATTTTATGGCTAGTTTTCAAAATTATTAGATTTTTAGAATTGCAAAAGTTTCTTCCATCGAAAAATTTATTAAGCTGAGGAGTATATTGCAGTTGAAGATTCTCTTTTGCGTCTTCTTTGAGAATTGATACAGGACTCCCACCTCTGAACCTACCCTTTTCCCAGTAAGACCGTGTAATAGAACTACTATGTATGCGATAAAATTTTGGATAGTTAGAGCCTCTTGCACAGTTTCCAAATAATTTTACGGCTAGTTTTCAAAATTTTTAGGTTTTTAAAATTTTAATAGTTTCCTCCATCGAAAAATTTATTAATAGTACCCCAAAACTTTCAAATTTTTTTTTTTCCACAAATCAATCAAACTCTCTGTACCACACCATGTGTGACCTAGAGATAAACAAAAAAAAAAATGGCATTGACCCCGTATTACTACACCGTTACTCTTGAAAAATCAATATTTTGAATAACAACAAAATAAGCATGGTTAATGACGACGACTACTAGTGAATTTTTATTTTGTGTTCACACAACTTAAAACTCCACAAACTAGTCATAGCATTGTACATTTTTCTATGACCGATTGATCGTACAGTCACTGCTTATAAAATGCTATATACAGATTATAAGACATTTGAGGGTCCGTTAGAACCAAAAAAGGAGAATTGTAACAATTCAATGACATTAAATATGACTACAAAAAAATAAGATCAATCATAAAATATTTAGATCGATCTTACAAACTCTCATTTTGTCATAATATCACTAGCTTGAGTTGTGATTTTAGTCTGTATACATAAAACAATCAATTTCTTGGGGAGGGGGGTTTGAGAAGTTTTTACTCCTAATTTTTTATTTTTTAAAAATTTGAATTATTAGATTTCTCATCCTCCAATTATATTCTACTAAATTTCTCAATTATCTTAAATAATTACATATCAACCCACTCTAACCATTTCTTATTTAAAATTTATTTTAAACATCAAATTTGAAATTTAACATTTCTTACACTCTATAGGCACGGGTAATCACACACCAGCTATCAGGTTTACTTAAGCCAGACTCAACAGTATACGCTTAATGATAATTAATGGAAATATTAGTAAATTGAATCAGTATATTAGAGGATTGCGATCGAGTCCTGTGTTCGAAGTTCGGTTTTCGGAGTGCAGCAACTGTATGGCTTTTGTCATGTCAAATGAAACTCCTGGTAAGGGATCGGTGTGGTTCCAAACGAACTATGCCTAAGTTAGTTTAGTAGGTTTTGTTAAGAATTGCTTACGAATTGTAAGACATTTATGTAGAGAGAGAAAGAGAGAGGTAAAGAGTCTTTTTCTCCTCTTCGTTACCTACCTTAAGCCGTCATTTATGAGGATTTTTATAGTCAAGGCAGAGTGTGATTTTAGTTTAAAGAGTAATGATTAAAAATAATTATGTATGGTTAAGTACGTAGAAAGCTAACACCATGCAAGAGCTTTTATCACTGACATGTGTCACTTGCTCTAAAGCTTATGTATGGTGTCAAGTGTGTGATGTCAAGTGTCAGTTTTCTTTTGACTGGATTCATGTAGATAGCGACTGACACATCTCGCTCATTCTTCTAAGTTGGGGCTGAGGAGAGACTTCTTGCACGATCTCCGACAAACGAGGTCTTGGCTATGTTCATTAGTAGCCTCCCGATTCCTTATGATCCCCGAGGTCATTGGGAATTTTACTTGGTGGGTTTACATCCTCGGAGGTCGCTTCTGACAGTTGTGATGATTAGTCCTTTTGAATTTTCTTGGACTTTGGAGTGACTGTTTTTGGCGCCTTTTCAAATTTCGAGAATGATGTATTTATGACATATACTGTCTTTTCAAGTTACGTACGTTGACTTTTAACCGTAGCCATGTGTCATAACCATTTGGCGTTCCTAAGACTCTTATGTTCCCCTCCATTGGATTGAATGAATCTTTTTCCTTGGTGGTGGGTATATATACCCTTCCTCATCTTCGTATTTTCCTTTTTCCTTTCTTTTTGGGTTTTACTATGTTGGCTTTCAGATTTCATAGGAGAGTTTCTTTAGGCATTCTTTTTCTTTTTCTTTTTTTTTTTGTCTTTTTCCCCTTTATGAAAATCGAACCCATATTGGTATATAGTGATATTGAGTCAGACAACATTGTCAACCCATATAATCCTTCGGAGTCTTCTGATAAGTTTCTTCTTGAAACCCCTGATTTTCGGTGATTGCTCCTCCTACAGGGTGTGTTTGGCAAGTCATGGGTGGACTGGACTAGCTTGGATTTAATCCCAACCTAGTCCAATGAAATCCCAATGGGATGGATATGCTAGGGGGATAAAAGGAAATTGTGTTATCCAATCTCAAGTTTAAATAGTGCATTACAATGTGGTTGAGATATGAACAAATTTTAATTTTTTTATTAAACATCTAATACTTTTGACATGAATAGACCATTTTACCCTTGAATCATATCCAATCCTATCTCATGTTTGGCTTAAGAATTGTTGGTTACAACTTTTTTTTTTTTGATCATTGTTGGTTACTAATTTAATATTATAAAATATTTAAGAATGCTTATGTATTCACCAAATACCTGTTATTACACGTTGATTTTATAATACGCTCACAAATTTATTTCATCCGCCGAAAATATTAAAATATTTAGGAGAAAAAATGCTTGAATATAGGAAAAATTATGTCACAACTTAAATTCACATGAACCATAGTAATAATTAATGATTTTTTATTTAAAAATTAAATGAAGAAAAAATTATTTTCAATCACAAAAAAAAATACAAGAAGCCAGGATGGGGGAAACCGTATACAAACCTCCTTCAAAACATGTTAAAAAGAACAAAACTTGTGTTACAAAGAAAAAATATACATGTATGAAGGAAAACTGACAGAGCAAGATCATTATTGAGCATGTATGAAGGAAAACTGCAAATTATTTTCTAAATGTGGCCTGCAAGGGGCAAGACACGAATTCCAGTTCTCAGATGAATAGAAAAAGATTAATATGATGGAAACTGCAAGTATACTTTATAATGAATTGTGGCAAATTGTCGTGATACTTTGGACAGGAAAATG